ATACATATTATCATAATGAACTGAGCTGCATTCTGTGATGTTCAACATCTTCCTCACTTCACAGGAAACTAAAGCAGATGAAGATGAACTCTGATCTCTGTGAAACAGACCAGGAGGGTGTAAGTATATTTACTACACAACAGGTTATTATTCAGCCCATATATGACATCTATTCTTAAAATCTGTGAGTGAGAAGTTCAAGTCTTGCAGTGTATTTTCACCAGTTTTCTTTGTCTTTCAAACTTGTGCATGATCTGTACAGATGAAGATGGTCTCTGACTGTGACAAACACACAGTCACAACCTGTGAAAGTCAGTTGCTCAACTTGTCACCCACACACCTACACACCTCCATCATGTTTACCACATCGTGACTATTCACTGGTCCCCAACAGCAGCTGCTACTGCAAAACAACAAATATCACACAAAGTTGTAAAATCACTTATTTACATCTAAATAATAATGGTGTCATTTTTAATCATCAATTATATGATCACTTATGCACTACACAGCAGATATTTGAACAGGAGCAGAAATGTCTGTCGTTTGTGTTTCATTATTCTATCTTTGTTTTCATCGGGTCTACAGTCTTCACAGTTTCATGAACATGATCTTTCCTTCTCTAGACAGCAGTGTGTGTGTGTGTCTGATATTCATCAGATGAGCATCTCAATACAGGAAGATGTTAGATGAAGATATTTGTACATGTGTATTTGTCCCAAAAATGTTATTTGATTATCTGATTTCAAATGTTAAACAAATAAATGGGCCAGGCACACTGTACTTCTTTCTTTTTCAGACAGAAGAACAAAACGTTTAAACTTTAATATGCCTAATATCAAGAATACAGAAAAGATCTGACAGGGTAAAGAGTGTCTGGAAAGTGACTTATTGCAAAGAACTAATTACCAAATGTGAATGTGTGACAATAATTTCAGATATTATATTTGACATATTGCTGTTGTGACCAGTATAGTCAGAACAGACTTCACAAGCTCTTGAGTTCGTCCTGCCGGAAAACACAGGATGGCGTCATAACAAACAGCATTACAGGAGAGTCCTACTGAAAAATTGTGTTGTCACAAAACAGAAAGGAAGGAAGAAGCATTCAACATATTTCACCTTCCTCATGAACACACACCTTTGTTTGGATCTGCTTATCTTGGATCAACAGTAAATATAATACAGACATTAAAAAATTAAAAGTAATTCTTGCACCTTCCGCAACAGGTTGCTGTTGTAAAAACTGACAATACCTGGTTGTGACAGACTTCCTTTATCACCTCCGCTTATTATCGCAGAGCTTTTCAGATTAATCACATATTGCAGGACAGACAGGATCCATTACCTACTTTTTGAGAGATATTGTTTTTCTCATGAGGGTGTCATTTACATCATTAATTTTTTGGAAGCACATATTACATTTTCGACTTGTCTGAGTCGGGCTTTATCCACAGCACAAACTGTGTGCATTGGTCTGAGATTCTTTGCGAGTGGCACTTTCCTTTACACTATTGGAGATGTGGAGAAGTTGTTGAAAAGTGCAGTCCATCATGCCATTCGCAAAGTTTACCTGGCACTCAAGCAGTTTTTAGGGGTTTGTGTGGTATTTCCAAGGCACTTAAGAGCACAGGTTGTAAAACAGATTT